TGAATGAGGGACGCTCGGAGTATCCACTGACAGTAAGTGCCAATAACAACCACCATCTGGGAAGAGCTATCGATGTCTACATTTTTCGTTTACAAGCAAGTTGATGATGGGTTTCACTCCGTATCCAGTAGAGTTCTGAAAGGGAAAAACATTTTTCTCGGAAGAATTTTTTTGTGCTACTGAAAATTAATACTTCTATTTCTTGCAGGTGGTCGAGGACTGGAAATATATTTCGATGGTGCTGGATCGGATTTTCCTGATTCTATTTACTGCAGCCTGTATGCTTGGCACTGTCATCATCATTCTTCGCGCTCCAACTATTTCTGATACTGTCGCTCCGCTGGCATAAGTTTTGCTTCTTTGAAATTTCGGCGTCTTCGATTTTCTCAAAATAAATGAGTACCGAGGATATATGTTAGCACTGCTACTTCAGCGAAGGATTCAAACAATGAAAATTGATTTTATTCCGTTGTCACGTGGCGCATGTCTAGACGATCCGAAAATTGAACGAAAAGAGCAGATGAAATAAATCCGGAAAATGAAATAAATCCGGAAAATTTGGCGCTTCCGGTGGTGTTAGATCATCTAGAGCAAACCCCGAAGAACACCGAATGGTCTTTTGTTATTTCTTTTGTTATTTCGCATAACAGCACTGGTTTCCTAGTATTCATACTATCTCATCAACAGATGTTTAACTGCACCCATTCACCTAACCGTACACGTTCTTCTTTTTTTTGAAATAATAACTTTAATTATGTATTCCCATTCATTTCTGGAAACAGAGCTTTCGGAAAACGTACAATTTATTTCATGACAAAAAAAATTTAGTTTACTTAGTATTACAAACCGAATGTACAACATGCTTTGATCTTTCGAAACTTTTTTCTCTTCCCTCTTTTCTAATAAATGTTTTTTTTTTATTCCCTTTTTATCCAGTCATTTTAATCTCTGGAATTTGGTAAAGTAGGTGAAATTAGATAAAAACATACACACATCGTGGTTCTCCATAATATGCTTTTTTGCGCATCTGCATACATATAAAAAAAACATAAATCATAGGGGACGCGCACCGGGCTGGCCCGTGCGATCATGCGTTTTTGCAATATTTTGCGCTGTAGTGAGATCGCTCGGAAACCCAGTAGCTAGAAATGTGTGATGTACTGGTCCTCGAAGCCTCGGAAGTTCATTGTCTATGCGGTAGTTGGGCAGGGAACATTTCGTTGAAATTTCAACTTTCCAAATTTTCTTCTTGAATTAGCAATTTTCCCGCCAAAAATATTCACGAAGCCGTACGTGATAATCACGCATGCCCGGGGGCTTAGTTCTATAAATTCAAACCGTACATGGACTGTGAACATTTCCTGAAAATTTCAGCCTCCGGGCTTTTCTGGTTCCCGAGTTATCCATTTCCGCGCCAA